GATCATCAAATGTATCAATCATTTCTTACTCTTCTAGTTAAGGTGAGGGAGCAACGACTCCACACTTTGACCTGCTGACGTGAAGTAGCCTCATGTGGCCTTTAGCACAAAGCATGGGCAGTAAGACAAACAGACAAAGGAAGCAAGGGAGGTAAAAATGAGTTTAAGGACTTGAGAATTTGCCAGGAATTGCATTTAAATTGATCATGGTGCTTAAATCTGTACGTTGCCAGAAGCAGAAGGCAGGTGTTGATGAATGAGTTTCTAAAAGAAGCTCTATTTGAGGAGAATGGAGAGCCTGGGCTTACATTCAAAGAAGAAGAAAAAAAGACCAAAATAAAAGGCATCAGAATATCTGCAGCTGTAGTTAAGAGAACATGAGTGTATATATCCTATCAATGTGCTGCCACTAGACGGGTTTATATGTTCATTTCTCCAGAATGAAATGCCTTTGGATACATCAGTGAAGACAAATCAAATATGCTGCTGTAATACAGTTTGCTGTGGGTGTTTTCTAGTGCTGGCTGTGCACAGCCTGTGAGGTTAAGTGTGTGGATTTACTGACACATTAACTGCAAAGATTGATCCTCCTTTTTTTGCAGGACAACAACCTGAATGGTCGAGTCAATTTTCAGCACTGCGGAGCTCGCCGGCTCTGTCTGAATCAATTCTGTAACCTTTTCTGAAACCCAACAAAAAAAAGGCACGCATGTGTGTGGAAGTTTGTGTTTGCGCTGCAGCCTCGACAATGTTACTCTCTCAGAGTGCATCTGTGGTCTCTGCATGTGGATTCTCTACTCACCAACTCGATGAGCTCCTGGTAGCACACCTGTCCCTCTTCATTGCTGTGAACCAGGGCTAACAGCATGTCCAGTTTGGACGGGTCCAGCTGCAGCTCATGGTGCTCCACCAAGCTGGTGAAGTTCTCCACTGGGATGAAACCGGTGTTCTCTGGGTCCAGCTGGAGATAAATAAAAAAAAAAAACACAGCCCACTCAGATCAGTGGCGATTAAAAAGTGCATGCTGATAAGAGTCGTATTAAACATGATGTTTCTGTTATGCATCCTGATTTTTTAATTAGCAGCGCTGCAGAGATGAAGTGTCAGCCTGCCCTCGGGGAGGATGCAACAGTAATAGACATCTGAGACGTACGTACACACACACACGCACACGCACACGCGCACACGCACACAAATGAGAGGTACAGAGAAGAAGGCAGAAGCTCAGACACTGGCACCAGTATTAATTAAGCTGTGCTGCCTCCATTATGTCTTTGGAAAAATCCTTATTCAACCTCATTAAAGGAGCAGGTCTGTGGAGCAAACAGCAGGACGAGTGTTGTTGTTGGAAGCAGCGAGAGAAGACAGGCGGGCATGTCATCCTAATAACTGGCCTGACCTGCAGTTTGCCTGACACACACACACACACACACACACACACACACACACACACACACACACACACACACACACACACACACACACACACACACACACACACACACACACACACACACACACACACACACACACACACACACACACACACACACACACACACACACACACACACACACACACACACACACAAAATAATAAAAGTGGATGCTTCATTTGACTGTGCGCCTCTGTCCCCGGTCACATTTTGCAGCTGGAAGTTGGTGTGGTTTTTGTATAATCACCACTCACTCACTGAGCCCCGCAGCCCCCATGGGTTATTACTGCTGATGTCTGTATGCCACTGCTGCTCCTCGTAATTGATTTAAGCAGGAGAGCGTCATAAAAAAAGGCTGAGTGCAGTTGTCTGAAATAGCACCCGGTTTGAAAACGGCTTGTAAAGTATAGGGTGTGTATCTCTGCTTGGTTAAAGCAATGCAGAGATTTCTTTTTTTTGGCAGCAGCTTCACCAACTTACAACTTGATTTTGCTTTCTTTACCTCCTCCTCTTAAACACATTTGATTGCTCTGAAATAAAGTGCTCATTCCTCTTCTTAGTCCATCTGATTGTATTAGTGAAAATGGGCCTGGGGACAAACTGGAGCGGCACAAAGAGACCACATAAGAAGAGCCCCTTTGCTGCTTCTCATTTTCACCATTTCCTGAATGCCAACACAGCCTCATTAGGTTGCAGATAGTAAACCAACAGAACCCCCCCCCCCCCCCGGGAGGAGCGCTTTCAGATGTTGCGTCAGTGTGGAGTCAGTCATGCTGGATCATCGTTTGCCCGTGTCATGAGTCCAATAGAAGAATCCCCGACTAGGCTGCCTTTAGTCTGGACCCGGCATGCTCTAACATGGTGAGACAAAGGTGTTTCATCTGCTGCATGAGGAGAGCAGCTTTAGACTCTGCTGTGCCGTGTCAGTCTCTCCTGCAGTAGCTCAAAGCTGAAAGCTCTGCTGCTCAACTAAAAAGCAAAGCAGATAAATTAAGGAATCCAGTGGTGTGCGTCTCCTTTTGCACAATTTGACTGTCTATGTGCTTTTCTCCTCCATACAGTTTCTGTGTTGTTTTTTTTACAGCCATTAAGCCGAACACAAGCGTCCCTATATTTCCGTTTAATCTGCCTTTTTCCATTTCCCTTTAAAGTTATGCATGTATTCACCTGGGAGAGCTCAGGCAGACGCTAATGGGTTAGTTCTGATGATGCTTGACTCAGAAGGAGTGTTTTCCCACACTGCCAGTTTGACATATTGAAGTGATTTTGTCAGTTATGATACTTTTACAGCACTCTACAAACAACACCACTGCAAATGCTTTTAACCAACATTATGTAGAAACACAAACAATGTCGTCTCTGGGGTGTTTACCAAAAGCACATACAGCCAAAAAGAACCACGATGGGAAAGAAAACCCAAGTCTATTTTTAGATAATCCCCTTAACTGTGTGTACCATGGACGTTTGTTAAAACGCGGCCCTGTTCCCCCCCTTGAGGCTTTCTGAGCAAAATGGTGCAGAAATGGGCAGCTTTTGTGATGTTTAAGGTACTAGAACGACATGGGGAATGTGTTGGGCACAAAAAAAAAACAGCAGAAGAAAGCGTTAGAAATGGTAAGGGGGAGGAGGGGGTTTGTTCAGTGGATAAGATGGAAGAAATGGAAAAAAAAATGGAGCAGTAGAAGGAGGAGAAGGAGAACAGAGACAGCCAGAGAGGAGACAGATATGAAACAAGGACGCACAGAGAATAAAAATGCCCCACCACTGCCTGTTATTCTGTGCACAGCCCAGCAGTGTGGCTGTGAGTCCTCTTCTTCTCTTTCCTATGAGGCGACTGTGACACACTCCAGTGCTTGCGTTCACTTGCTATAGAGGGGAGATAGATCAGATTCTAATGTGCTCCTGGCTCAGCCCGGCTGACAGGGGGAACAGAGAGCGGTGCTGGGGACGTCTGATTACTGTCAGCCTCCATATGTCAGCACATCACTACACATGCAGCGGTGGCAAACACACACACAGAGGCAAAGTGTACAAGGTGTTGACGTGGAGCTGTCTCACTGCAAAGACTCTATTCCTTCTGTATTCCTGACTTCAGTCAGGCAGAACATAACACAGGGGAGACTGAATACACAGAGGTGGAGGGTTGCTTCTTGTAGCCAATGAGGGTTATCAATTAGCAGGATAAGGAACACTGAGATGAATATGAGCGGGTTTTTTTTTGTTGTTGTGCAGGCTGGTAACGTGCAGGGACAAGGAAATGTGTATGTGTGTGTGTTGGGGAGGGGGGGGAACTGAGAAGGAGGCAGTTATTGAAGCAATCCAACACTGGTGAGGGCGACACTCTGACAAGCTGCATGCGTTGCCATGGTTACCAGTCGCCTCTGTGTGTGTTCTCTTTTCTTTTTTTACCCCCAACGTATTGGCATTCGTCAGGCAAAGGGAAGACACAAAAAGGGGTTGAGAGACCAAGGGCAATGAAATGACGGATAGGGATGGAGAGATGATGTAAAAATAGACTTAACTGTTTGCATTATGGTCTGTGCTGCTATGTTAGGTCTATATTATGTGCAAACTCTGCCTTATTTGGCATACTGACTACCACACGTGTGTGTGTGTGTGTGTGTCTTTTTTGTTTGTTTTCTACCCAGGACCGTTTTTAAAAGTGGGGCAGTCTTTTGAATTTCTTTTTGCGGTCTACTGTCAGCTTTGGACATCAAGATGTGTGCCCCTTGCCTCTCTTTCTTTCTTTTCATCATTTGGTGTTCTTGTCTATCCTGTATGTCTGTATTGTAAAAATAAAAAAAAGCTATAAATAAAGTATTTAAAAAACAGTATGCAGATGGATGACAAGTGAGAGTATATGGTGGTAACGAAATGAAGGTTAAGTTTAGCTAAAAAAGGGAGGCGGGGCTGGAGAACACGGAACATGGAAGGGTAAGGAGCAACAAGATTTGAAGGAAATGGAAATGTCACAGGATAGGAATGTTTTCATGACTTTAAGGAAGAAGAAAAGAGCAAAAAGGAGTGGAGAGGATCTCAACATTAACCCCAGGACCTCTGTGACCTTCAGCACAGCGACTCCAGGTTACCCTAACCCGGACACATCAGTCCGTTCAACAGAGGCTCAGGAGTCGACCCTCCAGTCCAGGAACAAACACCAAAACCCAGCCACGATGAAGCAGAACAATAGGACTGATATTTAATTAATCCTATCGTCCTGCAGGAGGCTGAAACACAACCGATGAAAAGACAGGCTGGTAAATAACTCAGCACTAAGTAGTACAGAAACTACTGAAATCAAATGATACCTCAATATTATCCTCAATCCTCAATATTAATTAATTGATTCATGATTCATTAATTTGAACCTAATGACTGTGTATTTGTATTATTTTATTTATTTTATTATTATTTTCATAACTCAATGCTTTCGTTTGAATAATAGGTTTGTAACGAATTAGACTGAAGGGTTTCAAATAAAGAACCAGGTATAAAATCAATGATTTTAGAAACCTGGCGCTGGTTCTTTTGATGTAATTATTTAAAAGGGTTTAAAGGCTCAGAGATAAAGCAGTTGCTTCTGTCAGATTGTATGGTTCAGAAAGAAGAGATGCCTCAGACATGTTTACATGCTTTCACTATACAGTCTCCAAATGGCAAGTTGTCAACTGTATAAAAGACTCTGTGTGTTTTCTCACGTAGTGTAATCCTTTTGAAGCTTAAAGTTTCCTAATTGTAATGTCCATAGAGCGTAAAGTTACAGGAATCAGTCGTGATAATGGACTTTATTCAGTTATTTAAGAACAAATGTGAAAAGTTACGAGGTAACATTACAGCTGTAAGATTTTTAAGGATTTTTGTCACTATGATACTTAATTGAATACATTTGTTTTTTGGTCCAAACAGTTAACCATGATGTTATCATTTTCATCTCCAGGTATATCAGGTACTATCCAATATTTTCAAAAAATGAATAATTCAGGCTCCAGGTAAGGCTTAAGGCAACTTAGTTCGTAAACGCTATTTGGTAATAAACACCTAGTGAAATACATTTTCATAAAAATAATGTCTTTATTACATGAACAGTTAAGTAAACAAACTGATAGGAAGTACCATTAAACAAAACAGAGATTTACCAGAATTAAAAAGATTCAGCTTAGGCAGCAACTTAGTACACCTGCTAACTTGACAATACATCAGTATATGAATTTTAAACTACAGGATTTTGAAAGGTTGATTCTAGTTGGTCAGTGAACATGATTTGCTCTCTGTGTGATAGTGTCCTATACTTTACTGAGACAGGAATGCAGCACCAGCACTGGTACAGTTCTCCAGTACAGAGACACAGCTCTAACTTAATGGCACACAGCCAATACTACAGACTCATCAGCTCTCTTTGAACAAGACTGTCAAGCTTGAACAGGGTCGTGTATTTGCAGAGGGCAGTGGCATCTACAAGGTTTATTTTCACTGCATCAGATGAAACCTGTTATATTGTCTCACTGGTTGTTCACCAACAACTGGGCCACTCACTCACTCATTATCACAACGCCCTGCTGTTACCATTGTTAGGATTAAACATAACCAATGTGGCACTGTGATGTGACGGCCATAAGATCCAAACCACTTTATCTTTGAGTGCAGGATACTGAGAGATGTCAAGGGACTTTCCTTGATGAAAACAACCGTCTAACTAGATTTCCTGGCGTTTAAACACAGTACAAACAGCCAGCGGCTTTTTCAAATACAGCTCAATGCAAATTAGAACAACACAGAGTGATGAAAGGGGGGACAGTATATGAGAGTTTCTTCTCCCTACATGACATAAGTATGTCAGAATAGTATTCAGAAAGTCCTCATAAGGGAGATATAAATAGGCCAGATAAGGACTAGACGGCAAGTGGGCAGACAGTCAGCAGCTAATGAAAGTGTATACTAGTGGCTACGTGCTGCAGACCATTGAGTTGTCTTATCAGTGGCAACACAATAGAAAGACTATCAAAGACTCGGCATGTGTGTGTGTACTCTGATCAGAACCATGTGTGCACCCGCAAAGGCCAGAAATAGCCTGAGCTCAGCATTGCAACCTCCTGCAGACAAAGACTAATAAACTCACTCATGTTGCCTCTGTTGATTTCTTTTCCTTTGCCCCTGCAGCACTTTCATGTGGTTCAGGTTGACAGGGCGCTCCTTTAGACCTGCAGTGCTCAAATACACTAAGCATAGACATATTGCTTTCAGGGAAAAACCTCAAGGAATCCCCATTAGAGTTTAGTGCCTTTCTAATCCAATGTTTAATTGATTGAAGGAAATGTTGGGTGAGTGATGGCTTGAATAATCATTTTTATCAAAAAGTTGTAGGGCTATTGACTCTCCAAAACAGAGAAGCATTTTTTATTAAGTAGGGCTGCAAAATAAATAGCTCATTCTTTGTTACTGCCATTTGAGGATGAGGGGAAAAAAGGGCAAAAGACTCCATATGTAACATGCTGAAAGTGCTTTTTCATATTTTCACTTTTTTTTCTGTCATTTTGTTATATCAGTGTGTCTAGTTAAACTAATTTAATTTCCAGAAGTATTTAAGTTAATTTATATTTCTAAGATCATTAGTAAAAGAAAACAGAGTTATAAACAGTAAATACTGTGTGTTTTATCTACCCTTTAAGATGAAGACACTGGCCCTTTAAGGGAGGCTCAGAGAAGAAGACACAGAGGTGTGTGTAGGCTGAAAAATGAAGCTTGTGTAAAACTGTGGGCATTTCTTTAATAAAAGTTGCTAAAAGTTAAGATGGACGAGTTCTGACCGGTTCATTTCATGGGTGCAACACATACATTTTACCAATTGGTTGAAGAACAGGGTGTTTTGGCCCCACTTTAACAATTGCTAGATGATGGTTCCAACTAGCTGACGGTTCAGCAGTTAAGGAAACCATTCTGATTATTTCTGATTGAGGCATGTTGCAAAAACAGGGCCTGTGTTAAACTGTCAGAACAGCAGAAAATAGAAAGTTGGAGCTAATATTCACACTGAAATATCTGTTTATTTAATGCACCTCGTACAGTATTGTTAACGCAATATTGAATAATTAAAATCGCAAATCACATATTTGTATCAACATGTGCTGGCCAACCACTTAGTTACCATGACTACAGCTATACTTAACAGCACTTGACCTCAACATGCTCCCTTTTTCATTAAAGGCTGGTGGGATACCATGGTCATCATGGAGGGCCTCCAGTGAATGTGACAAATCAAATCTGGAGGGCAGAGATGGAAAGGAAAAAACAAGGCACGCTCTGCAAAGCTTTTTCCTGGACTGGGATGAGAAACAAGTCCCTGATGTTTATGCAGGCTCGGTTAAAAAACAAGCTTTGCCTGTTCACAGTCCAAAAAGCTGCTGGCAGAGTTTTATTTCATTCTAGTTTAATAAGAAAGAAATTTTCCAAATCAAAGGTCGCCATACGGAGTCCCAAAGTTGAAGAGGATAAACATTCTGTTAGCCTATTTGAGTGATTTGGTCTGGAGCTAAATGGGACCAAAATCTGTTCAGCTGTGGCCGGGCAAACTGTCTATATGAACATACTGGTACAAGCAGAGTAGACCCAACCATCAATAAAAGCAACCACTGTTTACATAGTGGAAGTATCAGCTTTATTTCCAACCCATGACCGGCTACATCTAAAACAGATATAAGATGTAATGGTCTCTCTGATATCACACTAAATGTGACTTTGAAGGAAAGTGTGTTTTTGTGGTATCACCAAGAAGCTGCTCTCAGATAAGTGCTTTTACAGTAACTGACTCACTAGTGTGACCACAGAGCATCTTCTCACCCAACCCACACCGCTTCTTACTCTTCTTATAGGTACACATTCCTAAAAATGCAACTTTGCACACACATACATTTCTCCCAAAGGCTCTTGGGTCTTTTGATCAATGTGTTGCTGAAGGGCCGCTCAGCCCCCAATCCCTGCAGCAGATAATCAATGTCTCCTTCTTGTAGAGAATGATAGCCCAATCTATCTGTCCATCAGCCCAAACCCCAAGAGACCAGTTCATCTTCCAAAAGACGAGACACATTAGAAAACCCAAGGTAAATACAAGGCTAGGGAATGGCCTGGAAGTACACATGTATCCACACAATCCAACAATATGTCTTAAGGGAGCAAAAGATAAATATATATACATGAAGAATGTGCCATCTAATCCTTTTTTTGGCTTGTTCATTTTGGAGATGGTAGTCCAAAGCTTGACTTAAAGATAGATCTGACTTCACATGAAAACAGCAGTCTGTGCAGAGGACTGTATGAAACCAGATGTGGAGAAATACATCTCTCAAATACTGTGTTTTTCAGCTTCAGGGCTTAAAAAGAAGACCTCAGTTTACAGCCAAATAACAGCTTCTATTCTAGAAGGAAACCGTGACACAGGAGCTGCCTCACCTGTTTTCTTGTAATTAAAAATGGAGTCATTTTACAATATTTGTTTTTTTTTTGTAAACTATAAAAGGATAAGGTTGAGTTGGTGGTAGACACAGAAAAACATCTCCCTCCCACTTACAGCCACAGACCCAAAAATGCATGCATGTACAGCACGATTGCAGCAAACACCAATGCAGCAGCTAGAACTGACCAATTTTTTTTTGCGTGATTTTCACCTCATTTAGGGCAAAAATCAAAACAGGACATAGAGAAAATAATCCATCTATACATCCATTCATACAGTATAACCATCCAGGTATTTTTAAGCACACACCCCCTCCTCACTCCCTCTTTTCCATTCACCATGACATGATGCACCCCCCCATCATGGCTCATGATCTGACCTCACATTCTCGGGGCCCACATGGCTCCATGATGCTTGTATCCATCCTGTGTTGTTTTTCACGCTTTCATTTTGGCCTGTGCAAACAAACAAAATCAAATCCTAACATCAGCTCTCACCCCCAAGCCTCCACGTTTCAATCCCTGGATAGACAGTGAGGTGGCCAGGAGCCCGTAACCATAGAAACCTCTACCGCGGCTTGCTTCCTTGCCTGCTGGCTTACCTGCTCTTGTATGAGCTGAAACAGGGAGCTTCTATCCATATACTGGCCAGGGAGGTGAGAGGAGCCGCCGAGGACAAGGACATAGGGAGGAGCAAGAGAGGAGTGGTGGTGGTGGCGGTGTTGGTAAGGATGGGGGTAAGGTGGAGGGGGATTTGGTTGATGGAGCAGCTAGTGCCTAAATGGTAGCGACAGATTCCTTTTGTAGCTGCTGCGTCCCCCCCCCTTGATGATGGAGAAGCCTGGTGAGCTAGTCCCGTCTTTTTTTCCCTCCTTGCTGGGGGTGTAAAAACCGGTCCTGTGTGTCTTCCTGTTGGTGCTGAGGGTGCAGACGTTTGATGCAAATGGGCCGAGCCTCCACTCCGTGCCAGTGCAGCGTGGTGGCGCGGCGGTAAGAAAACCCAGCTTCAGCAGACGACAGGCAGGGCACACAGGCAAGGCAAGGCGAAGGCAGATCCAGCTGCTCTCATTCACTCTTCTCCTCCTCCTCGCTCTCCTCTATCCCATTGCACTGACTGCTACCTCTCTCTCTCTCTTTCTTGTCCCTCTCCACACACACACACACACACACACACACACACACACACACACACACACACACACACACACACACACACACACACACACACACACACACACACACACACACACACACACACTGCGCCGCCTGCTGCATACCAATGAGACAGGGGAGGGAGGTGGCTTCTCTCTTCCAATTGGAGACGCTGAAGGAGTGGTCATGGGCTGCGGTTCCCTCTCCTAACTACGAGTAAGGTGTCTCGGAGAGGAAGCAGGGGATGGGCTCCACTGCGGCTCTGCAGCTTACTACTGGCACACATACCAACCACACAAACACACATGTCTGGTCTGTTACTGACAGACACAGACACACACACACACACACACACACACACACACACACACACACACACACACACACACACACACACACACACACACACACACACACACACACAGACAGACACAGACACAGACACAGACACACACACACACACACACACACAAGCCCACACACTGTAAACAAGACAAAAGCTCCAAAAAAACACAGGCATATTGTGAAATCCAAACCATGTGATTATTGTGTTAAATGTAGGGTTTGAGGAGATGAGACAATACAAATCTAATAATGATATCACTAACACTGACAGCCCCCCAAAAGAAAACTACAGACTGCCCGGCAACCCTTTACATCTCTGTGCTAATTATAAGCACTGGCACATTAGCACATTGTATGCACTGCTGCACAATTAACCGCACACCAACCCCCAGCACACGTGTAAAAAAACTGCACATAATTCAATTAAACAACTTTGGAGGGCTCGCTGATCCTCAAACGAGCTCAAATGAAATACAACAATAACACAAGACCAGAATCCTCAGTACAATACTTTATTATAAGTAATACCAGCACAAAGGCTCTTATTCTGTTAATCTGGAGCATAATAAAGAGGTTACCATGCAGGAAGCCGAGTGACAGGGGGTCAGAACATACGATTGATGAAAAGGAACTTGTTAGTGCTCATGTGCTTGATTGTACTGAAATCCCCTTTAAAAGGTGTTTTTTTTCTTTCAGAGCAAATCCGCAGTGACCCCTCCTCCTCAGGACAATGGCGATGAAGGGGAGGCGAGGAGCGAGGGTGGGGACATAAATCTTAATTCATAAGAAGTGAGTGAAACAGCGACCTGGAGACGCGACCTGGAGAAGAATTGAGCTCACATTGTTGTTGAATCAGGAGGGTTTCTTCTCCTCTAATGGGAGATTTTTCCTGCAACAGTAGCTTGGTGACAAACAGTGCCTCTGCCTGTTTAGGTTCCATAATTGCACCAGATGTTTAGGCTTTCATTTTCTCTTACCAGAGGAAGAAAAATGATCTGTACCTCCTCATCACAGCCATGTGGTCTTGTGCTTTTTGGGCTCAGACTCGGTTTTACAGACTACATAAAGCCTCTCTGGTAACAGCTGTGTTTGTCCTAAAGGATATGTCCAGGCCACCTTGAACATGGCACAACTCCCAGACTTTCTCTTTGTCACCTTCCTTTACGCTTCCATTTGACACACTCCACTTTAAACAGAACATTAATAATGACCTTCTGTTGCAAATGAAAGTAGTCCCTCTCCTGTGTGCCGACAGACTGAAGCGGCTCCGCGGGGTTTCTTTGTTCAACTGCTAATCAGTGCTCAGAATTCATTTGTCATCAATTCTCTGTAGTTGTGAGCGTGAATTAGACAAATCTAATTATAAGGTCACTGTTGGAGGATTCGCTAAACCGCAGCGAAGGAGACGGATTGAAGATTCAACTGTTGCCTTGGTAACCTCAAGAGACTCTCATCAAACAATGATCGACAAGGACAATGAACTGAAAAAAATCCAGAGCAGTAATAAAACAGAGCAGAAACACCCAGCTTAAACCAGTTATGTGTTGGATTTGAAGGATTTACATGTTGCCAAACAAAGTGCTGGCTCTGTCAAAAAAGAAACTAGAAGCAGGTAAAACAGAAATCCCCAGGGTGCTGGTGGCTCAGTGGTTAGTGCGCACGCCCCATGTATGAAACCTATAGTCCTCCAAGCGGGAGGCCCAGTTTCAAATCCAGCCTGTGGCTCCTTTCCCACATGTCATTCCCCACTCTCTCTCTCTCCCTGATTTCCAACTCTACCCACTGTCCTATCTCTACATTAAAGGCACAAAAAGCCCAAAAATAAATCTTAAAAAAAACAGAAATCCCAAATATGATGAAAACACCAACTTGGCACAAGCTCCACTGAGGGTCACGCCTGTATCATTGTTTCCATTACAGCACCACCAAGGGACATTATCCAGAAGACTGGCAGAGAGAGATAAGCCTTCCCAGCTGAATGGTCTCTCTTGAGCCTGACTAAAGCCTTCATGTTCTCTTCACCCCTGGTGGGTGGATGCAGACGGCAGGGCGAACCCAGGCGGCCTGCTTCCTCTTTAGAACAAGACCTGAGAGTAGCAGAGACCTGGTGTAGCCTGTGTGAGAGAATAACAAGGCCTTTCAGAGGGGAAGAAAGGCACATTAATTAGACCGCCAGTCTGCGCTCTTCCTCGCCAGCTTAATGACCTGGAGGTCCATAAGGCAAAGTGTTTATTTATGGGTGTCTGCGGGGGGATAGTTGTGTCTCTGTCAGAGAAATGGATGCTAAGAAGGGGCTGTAAATGTGAAAATAGTCTGAATTTAAGATGTCTTAATATTACATCGGCTCTGCCAGGGTCTGAAAAATTAGACGTCCATGCATCCTTTTGTACAACACATAGTGTGCGGGAATGCAAACTGTAGGGATTTCTCTTTGTGCATTAAAACTCCTGCAGGATTAAGATTCATTGAACTGACTTCTTGAGTTCAGCCCTGTTACCCTGTTTTCAATTTTAACTTTTTGCAGTGCCTGTGTTTCAGCACTGACAACACAGGGCTGCAATATCACAACATCTGGAAATCATAAAAATAGTAGTGCTCCAATCCGCTTCAGCGTGAACTATAGCAACCTTTAATGACTCGTACAAATCTAAAAAAATCTAGATTTCTTTAATTTCTTTAATTAATTTTCTTTAGTATCTCATTTCTCATTGTTTCTTTTCAAATTAGATATAGGTTCAAATCAATTTACATATCATTACCAAGCACAGGTGTCAAAAGTATCTATGATGATTCTTTTTGATACGACATCTTTTAAAATGATACAATTTCTGTTTGTTTAATAATCTAGTATCAAAAAGTAGGAAAGCTTTAGAAAAGTTCAGGTCTTCAGTCATAATTTTACCAAAAAGCTGCATTGAGCGAAAGACAAAGAGCACTTACTAAATAAGCAATAATACATTGGCAACATTTTGATACAGCATTGTTTATTTTTGAACCAAAAGCTGGTGCAAGTGTGTGAGAGAGAGAGAGAGCGAGAGAGAGCACACATATGAAATGTTGCTAACGTATTTGTGCAATTAAGACAATTTTTTGAAAGCAGAACCAACATACTGCAAGGAAGGCAGATAGTCTGGAATTCCAAAATAAGAGCTGCTTCTTAACCCAAAAACTACTGAGGAAGGCAGTCATACAGGCACTCCTGAAGATCAGAGTCTGGGTTTCTTTTACCGTCTTTTCAGTGATTTGTGCAGGTTTGATTCTGAGGAGTCTGCAAGTTAAAGAAGCTACATTTGTTTGGGTGATGTAAAGATGATGCTGTGTAGTTGTCTCTTTAATGAGGAGATTCAGCAAGATTAGTTTATATGGTTTAGTTTATTTTTTTTTATTATTGTGTCATACATACATCCATATGCCCATACCGTATGGGCTTACATGACACTATAAATTAAAAATGTTCCCAGATCAGAGTGCACTAGGTAAGCTATATTCATTGTCAAGAAACAAAAAGAAAAAGCAAGAAGTCAAACTAATTGTAGGTATCCACTGAATGAAGCCGTAGCTTGACGCTCCCAGAACTCCTCTCTTGTGTAATTTTCATCCAAAAAATCCACAGGACCAAATGATCAAAGTTTAAATGTTTACTTAAACATAAATAAACAAAAAAAAGATACAGGTTAGTCCAAAACTATACAAAAAGAGAGATGAGGAGAGAGAGGTCAAAAGACTGTGTGGCTCCACTCTCTACTAGCCCGAACTGAGCCCAATTAAGTCCAGAAGCCACTCCCCCTCCCAGATCCAATGAACAAAAAGTATTACATGCATCCATAAATTTAACATGATGAGCAATAAGGCTCCTACACTAATTAAACAGAATATCCTGTCTTCTTTTCCAAGATTTTAAAAGAAAATTAGCAAGTTTAAACACATCAAACTTAAACAGCCGTTTCAGTTTCTGCACATCTGTCCGCCCCAATATTTCAGATTTTACTTCATGAAACAATAATTCTCTTAAATCATCTGATTTTGTACAATGCAAAAGAAAATGGGACTCTGTTTCAACTTCATCCAACTCACACATCTCATAAAGTTTGTTTTCTACTGGAAGATTTTTGAATCGACCAACTTCAATATATATATATATATATATATATATAAAAACATTGATGTGCTATATAACCCGTCATGTGATCATCTGTCGTTTTGGTTTTGTCTTTTATGTTGTTTGTTTGTTTGTCTCATATGCCTTTATTGGCCTGGTGTTCAAACAGTGTGTGAGTGCATTATTTCTTGCCTTTTCTATCTCTTTCCTCCTTATACCATGTCGCTCTCTCTCTGTGACTTGCTTTTGATCAGATGTAGTAAGTACTGGATATTTCTCCAAAGGCTGGATTGGAAGGATCTCTCTGTCACACAAGGAGAACCCCTTTATTTGATGGAGTGTTGTTACTTCATTATTTTTGAGAGAATGGAGTCTTCAGTCATTCAGTTTTTGTGGCTTTGTGTGTTAGTTTTGTTTTGTCATGGTTTTTAAGTTTGGGGAGGAGTCTGATGGCTCTGTTGTCTAGCTGGCCTGACTGTCTATCTACAATCTCTGTAGTGTCCACTTCATGTAGCTGCTACTC